CGGCTTTGCGCTTGTTACCGGCAGCTTGTTTGCCATTAGCGGCACCCTTCTTGGCACGTGACCGTGTACCAGTCTTGTTTTGCTCACTCTGGCCGCTCTCTGAGAAGTCTCCGGTTTCTGCAGATTGAACGCTATTGATGGAACCCTTGGTATCACGACGACCATGGTTAGCGCTGACGGGCTGGACGGGCATGTGCCCTGCGTTCATTGATTGTTGCTGGGGGGCCATGGAGTAGGGTGGCTGGTTGTTACGCGCAGCACCGTTCTGGCTCGCAAAAGAGAGGAGGTCATTAGCTGCACTGCTGACGTCATGATTAGAGTATGGGTCGTTCTGTGCACGATGCTGTGGCTGTTGGGCCTGCTGGTAGTTGTTGTTTGGTCGATCCATTCCTGCGGTTGCTACTTCAGGTTGAGATGTGGGAGCGTTGGATGTGGGCTTGTTGTTAGCCTGGTGCTGGGCTGCAGCACGCAGGGCAGATTGCTGGAAATCGGCAGTTCCGGGCGTTACACCGGCACCTTGGAGATTGAAAATGGCTTGCGAGTTGGGGCTAGGCGCAGGGAACATGGAACCGCCGCCGCCAGGAGTAAGGCCGGTGCGGAGGGAGGATTCGTTAGGCGTGGGGAAACCTCGGAACGACTCACTGAAGTAGTCTGTCTGTCCAGTCGGGCCGCTAAGCATAGCAGGGCTCAAGGGGCCTGCGCGTAAGCCTTGCCAACCAGGTGTGATGCCCGGCAGCGGTGCCGGTGACGTAATGTTCGCGACGGGCGGAAGAATCGGACGACCACCAGGCGTCTGTAGGCTTCCAGATTCGCCGCCGAATGACTGCTCAAAGACGTTTGGCTCGAGCGAAAAGGGATTGTGGACCGTGTTGAAATAATCGGGCGTGTCGCCAGTAGTTGTGGGCGCGGGCTTGGGTGGTGGTGCCAGCGGCTGGGCATTTGACGTGGCGGGCTTTGGATCTGCGTTGCTGGCGGCTTCCGTCGTCGCAGCTTGTGGAGTGTTAGCATGATGGCGGTGGTGATGGAGAAGGTTGAGCAGCGTTCGAAGACGTTGATATGGGACGGAAGCTACTTACGCTGTACCTTTGGAGATGACTCGGACTTTACGGACTCTGTGTAAATGACATGGTTAGTCATAGTCCTGCATCGTGACTTGGGACGACCAAGGAATGAATACATGTAAAGAGACGATGATGTATGTGCGCGCACAATGCAGCATGATGGCTAGGGCAGGAAGGTGCAGCAAGGTGGTGGTAACATGGTAGTGACGACGGGACAGGACATGATAGTCGCACACGGGGGAATAACACATACCTTCGGCCGTCTTGGTAGTAGGAGGAAGACTATTTTTGCTGTCCTTGGGAGAGGACATGGTGGCAGACGGGGAGGAGGTTCGGGCAGTTTGAGTTGCGGCTGCCATACTTTGGGGTGGTGACGTAGCAGCGGTGTCCTGGGCGATCGTCTGTGGTACTTGGGCCTTGACCTCTTTGCTCTCCACACGCGACTTTACAGCGCGCAGCTCACCAACTGGGCGCACGCTACCGACTCGAGCCTCGCAAATCACGCTATTCTGTTCGACAGCCGTGTCAGCGCACGCAGAGATATGGATTACACAGCTGCAGGTACTCGACGCGACAGACAGCAAAGGGTGGGCGCAAGAGGGCAGTCGCAGTCGCAGACGTTGGGGACGTGGCAAAAGCGGTCGGCAGCGATAACAACAGCGACGGGCGCGACACAACTACGTACCTCAGCAAAAAGGAATCGAGCACAGCCGATGCGGGGTAGGGCCGTCTCAATCCGAATTATCGATCTTGTTGACCGGCGGCGAGCTGGTTTGCAATGCTGGTGTCTGCGTGTCCAAAGTCAATAGTGACGTCAAGCCCCTGGGGTGACGGTCTGCAGCGCCGTGAGATGCAGAATCCGTCCTTGTTTGGTAGTCGCCTTGTTGTGCACGACGATATCACGATCCGGTGCTGTGGGTGCGCGTTGGCAGTCTGCTTGCTGCTGCTTCAATGAGGCTCAAAACCGGCGTTGACGGGGATTGTGCTCGTGGTGACGATGACAGTGAGGCGTTCGCGATGAGGTCAGAGGACAGGACGAGCGAGCAATTTCTGGGAGTGACGCAGCCAGCGCCAAGCCGCGATAACGTGATTTGGCTGGGTTCGTAATCAAAGGCCTGCGCTAGTCTGAGCTAGGACCAATCACGCATATGCGTCCTCCACCGCCTTCCCACCAAACGCCCACTGCGTCCTAAGCAGCCCCTTTTGGCTCGCTTCAAAGCAGGAGTGTGAGTCGTGCTCCGCGGCCTCGACTGCGACGTCCTTGATGTTATTCCCGCCACCGAATCGTCATCTGAGAGATACACGGTGAGATACAGTTACCACTGCTACCACCACGACGCTCACCGTTCCCCCTGTCCTCACCGCGACAAGATTCTCCTACACGCTGCCCACAAACTAACCACCTCATCCCATCTAACCAGCGTTTCGTCCCAAAAACTGAGCTATTGGCACCACTACAACCGTCAGCGCAACGGCTGCGCTGCTCAACTGCTGCGATTCTGCCGCTTGCCGGTCCCGTTCCAGACCTCGATTCACCCATGTTTCGTCGATCCACGTCGACTCGCACATGTATCCGCTCAAAGTATCCGTACCCTCTGCGCAGCGGCCTTTGACGCCGCCGTGCCAATCAAGCGTTGCGCCTGCTGCATGGCGTTTCTTCTTTCCGATGCACTTCGTCATCTCAATGTCGGTGGAGCGCACGCATAGAGGGCCAGTCGTTCCATGTACCAGTAGCAGCTGCAGCTGAGACAGGAGCCTCGATATGCCAGATGCCCTCGCACACGCAACTCACTGCTATTCTCGTCCCGCTCCCGCTTCCCCAGACTGACAAATGCTTCTTTCTGCTCTGCGGTTGCTTCCACTGGTCCCAGATGAGCGGACAGACATGCGAGACATGGCGCGGACGGACAGTCTTCCAGTCAAAGCTCGATCGTCATCGTTTGCTAGTTTGCGTTCCACAAAATCTCAACACAAGGCGACTGCCTCAGAGTAACTTTCACTCCAAAATCAATACACCGCTATCAGTCTACTCAGGTGGTTTTGATGTGCATGTTGGTTTTGCAGGTAATGTGAAACTGACATTCTCTGTTTTTGCCTTACCCCTATATCTAGCTCTGCACATGTGACTTTTGTTTGAAGCTACGCCATGCTTTTGGCTCGTCACCACACCATTTCACTGAGAATACGCATTTGGCATGTCATCGATAATCAGATGAGAGCCGGTGTTGGGATTGATAAGTGCACAGCTCGGACTGAGTTGGGACCAACATAGCAGAAAAGCATGGACCAGAACGAGACGGTTCATCAGTCATCAGAACTAGACCAGAAAACACATGTCCAGTGCTTTAGCAAAGTCCGACATCACGCGTCGATAAAGTCGTAAAATGCATTGACAGGTGCATATCCGACATGCCTTTTTCGATGCACGACGCTTGATATGAGCATGCAGTCCAATCCGTCCTTCTGACTAATGTGCAATGGCCAGTAATATGATATTTACACACTCCAGGGGATACGCGGATCAATTTTCCAAAGTGGGAACAATCGTTGTAATCGCTGGGTAATGTTTTAAAACATATTTTCGGTTAAGGTTCGCTCTTCCCAAATGGGTTGACTATACCATAGACAGAATATCGGGGTGTACAATGGCGTGATCTGCTGGGGAACACGTAGACACGAACCGGAGACTGGTTCTTGGGTCCTTGTACTCTTTTTTTGGTCTGGAATAGGAGCGCACAAAAGAACCTACAAGGACATGATCGACCAATCTCCTTTTCAGGTAGTCATACACGTTGTGGTGGATATGGCTGAAAACTGCATCGATCTGTCACTAGCCAAAATATCGCAAAATCATGAAACTCGATAAATCATGAAACCACATACATCATATCGTCCACCTAACATCTCCTCGGCTATTAACCCCCATGCGCATCCCACGACGGCATTCGGCGCGCACAGGATGGACATGGTCGTCGGAGAGCTCCGAAGGTGGGCTGGAGGGGTAACAGAGCACGTACCTCAGTGACAAACGCGGGGTGCTAATATCCCTCACACAATTCCTGTTATACTCTGTCTTCAGTTCCTTCTCTTCACTGCAATTCTTCTAGAATCCCACGTCTATACCCATCGCGCGTGAAAGCGAGTTGCGCATCGCAGTTTTCCGGTCAGTCCTCGCTATAAGTTAAGCTCCGCAAGCGTAGAGCTACACACGAACTCTCCATCTCACAAGAACACCTCGTCGAGCGCATACGCGATCCGCCGGTCTAAACAGCGATTCCACTACGAGATAAATACCCACGTACCCACCGCGCACACAGAACCGGCTTCGCATGCCCTCCTCATCGCCCACAACACGCATCTCAGTCCTAACCACGCACCTCACCCCACCCACATCAACACCCCCATCCAACATGTCAACACCCACACCCAAACCACCCATAACCTGCCACATCCTCGACACAACCCTCGGCCGCCCCGCCCCCTCAATCCCCGTAACCCTAACCCTGCACAACCCCTCCTCCCAATCTACCCCTTCATCAACTACCACCCCCCTCAAATTCACAGCCACAACAAACACCGACGGCCGCGTAACCGCCTGGACCCCAGCGACACCTTTCTCCACACTCAGCCTACAAGACGTGTACACGGCGCAAGCAGGTGACGCCAGGTTCAGCCTAACGTTTGATACCGGTGCCTATTTTGAACAAAGGGGTATTGATGCGTTTTTTCCGGAGGTGGTGGTGGGTTTTTTGGTGAGGGAGGGGCAAAGGAGGAGTGGGGGGCATTTTCATGTTCCAGTGCTTGTGGGGCCGTTTAGTTACACGACGTATAGGGGGAGTTAGGGGGGTGAAGTTGGGAGAGGGGAGTATGACAGGGGATTCCGCGGGTTCTTGAGGTGGTGACTGGAAAGACTCTTCGCGGAAATGGTCTCTTTTATTTATCAAAGAGATATAAATAAGAAGGTTGGACGCAAGAGGAAGTTGGGAACAAGCATATCTCCTCATGTGGACCTATTTATCGGGGGGGGTTTCATTCCTGTCAACTACATCAACTTTTCTTGGGGAAGCGGAAGCGAATAGGTATCTCAAAACCGTCGATTTATCGATTTGTTATATACTAGTCCTACGCTGTAACCAAGAACTTTATTTTTGCTCCCCTGCCTAACTCCCAGTTTTACAACGAGATTAATGCTTGGGGGAGATAGGAGTAGCGTTCATATATAAAAGGGATGAACCGTCGCGGGACAACATCCCACGATCCCGGACAAGTCCTCCCTTTTTTTTTTGGGATTTTCCTTTTTTTTTGGGGGGGGGGGGGGGGGGGAGCAAAGGAGATCAGGGATGTACACACATAAAGGCTCTAGAAGGGTTTGAAAATCCACACACCCCTTCCTATCCAAGTTGTACTATGCACGTCCGCTCGATAAGTCATAGTGTCGTGCCGAGTCATTCGAGTATTGTACAGTAGGAGGTGAGTATGGTTTCTTAGATAGAGGGTCTGGGTCATACACATGCTATCTGAATCCCATTTACACAAGATAAACCTGTAAAGAACGTGGTAATTAGACAGAAATCTACAGGGTTATTCGTGGGTCCAGGGCGCGACATTTGGGGTAAAGGTGAATTGGGAGATGCTTGAATTTGGTGGATGGAAGGGCAGGACACAACGACATATGCACATTTTAGACATTGGAAGAATCGGTAGTTCATGTGCGCAAACAATGGAGGCAATCAAAGATGGATTTATCTGGTAAATATGTCGATGGCTAGCTCAGATAAAATGGTATATCTCACTCCTTTCTACTTTCTATACCACCACAAGGCGGTACTTTCATACCCACCCCATCTTATCCAAAATCCACCCTTCTCTCACAAAAGTTACATACAATCGGGGAAGTAGTTAAACCCCGCCAGAAGAAAAAATCCCTGGGTGAATACCACACCCCGGATATTCATCGCAAACACGCACACGTGTCAACGCTAGACGTTAAAAGAAAAGATGAGAGAGAGATCATGACAAGATCCTTTGGATATCAATAAACAAGAAAAAGAATGTGAAGAGTGAAAAATGCATACGAGATGCCAGATCTCGGCCGTTGTGATTTGTTCATGCCCAGACCTGTCAGAAGTGAAGGTTTGTTGGTTGTTAAGGAGATGTTTGTGTGTGCCGCAGTGGCTGGATATCTCTCTCGCCGATGTCAAAACATGCTCTTTGCCCAGTTCGCTAAACTTGGGGGATGCTTGTTGGTTCCCAAAAACGCCGTGTAGAAAGAATGACCAGTGAAGTTCGGACAAGTAGATTTATAGCTCGCTCTTGTTACTGTCGTGGAATGGACTTTGGTCCCGTCTGGATACAGTGCTGCCCCGTTTTGATGCTGCTTCTTCGACAATGGGTGTCATTGGTGTGCGTGAAGTGTCGTACGATGTGATGCGTTGCGACATCATCGGTCGTGGGGGTTCGAGCGAGGAGCTGTCAGTGAATGGGCTGCGGTCCATGGTTGGCGTCTTGTCCTGGATCTCAGTAACGCCTGAATCACGCGAGCTGGTGGAGCTGTTGCGGAACAATGTTTGCTTAGCGCGTGCATGGTCGTCATCTGACTCCTCCCCGGATTCCGACGCTAGGCTGCCCCGGCGGGCGCGCGAGTGGGCTACGCCATCGTCAGACGAGGTCGTCGAGTAACCAGTGAGTGGTCGCGCTGATGGAACCAAAACTTCGGGAGAGTTGACTAGTGTTCGGTCGTCGCTCGCTAGTGAGTTGGAGGAGCTCTTTGGTGGAGTGATATCCATGCTCCTCTTCTTAGTGATGTTAAGGGCCTTGACGCCACCTAGTTGCGCGGTGCTACGGACAGAATTTGCAGGGCTAACGCCAGGCATTTGGATGCGGATGGGCTTGAGGCCGCCGTGTTTGGGGTCGATTTGCGGTACGGGTGGTGTGTCGAATTCCTTGGGTGTCTCTGCTGGGCTGTTGGTAGCAGTTGACTTGACGCTGACGACGGCGGCCTTCCCTCGCACAATAGTCTGTGCCGGTAGTGGTGATACGATGGCGTTTTGTCGGTACATTGTCGATGCAACACTGCCTCGTTGGGCGAGACTCGGGGCGATGCTCGTACGGCCGACAGTGCTGGCTGACATGATGGAGTCGCGGAAATCGGGCACAAAAAAGTGCTGGTCGGCGTTGGAGTACGGGCTGGTCATACCAGACGAAGGCGACATGGAAGGAATCGGAGGAACGGGAGGAACAAGTAGGTCGGGAGATCCAGGTCCTGAACGGTTGGTAACACCAGGGATGTAGGCGATCTGGATGATGTTGGAGGCACGGGTGAGAACGGAAGAGGCCATCGAGGCAACGGTGTGTGTTGAAGCTCGCGCACTGCGCCGTGACTGGAAGTCGTTGTCTTCCTTCTCCTGCTGTGCCAAGTCGACAGATTGCCATTCCCCTTCGTCGGACACGGACCTTCTCTTTCCCTTTAGGCAGAACTTCCACACAACAAAAGTAAGGATGGCGATGAAAGCGACACCGCCAATGACACCTCCAGCAATGGCACCAACATTTGTCTTGTTGGCAGGGGCTGGACTCGAGGCGATGGGGTCAATTTGGCAGGCAACGGAAGCACACTCGTCGCAGGTCCGCGAACTTTGCACGCAGACCTGGTTGGCTGGACATGTGATGCCTTCGCAGGACAGAGGCGCCTGTTCACACAGCTTACAACGTTTATCCAGACGGAAGACGGACTCGGCATCTGGCATCTGGTTAGTATACTAGCCGGGCCTTGATTGGGAACGCGGTCGGTACCTCTGAGCGCACGGATAGACATGGCAACGGCAGTTAGGGGATCAACGGTCGCTGGGACAGAAAGCAAGAGAGCGGGCAAACAAGTAAAGAGGGCCCGCTATCAGCGATGGGCGCACCCGATGTGGTGCGACGCTTTCTGGCTGTTGCGTCGTACCACGAAAATGCCAGTGCCAGAGAGCGATGGGGTGGTTGCAGGCTTGTGGTGAAGGAGGACAAAGAAGGAGCGATGGAGGAATGGCGGCGCTAACGAGTATCAAGGGCTTCAGGCGGCAGCGACGGCGTGGCGGACAGGTTGGAGACAGACAGGAGACAGGCGAGCAGAATATGAAGGAGCGAAGAACAAGAAGTAACGAGTGACGACGAACAAAGACGACCACGCGCAACCGAAGAACAAATGTCTCGATGGGCAACAGTAGGCGGTGCAGGGTGATGATGGCAATGGCGAGAGAGAGGGAAAAGGGCCTGAGGGAGACGCGGCAGTAGCGTCGTAAGATGAGGCGTTGGGGGTGGGGCGTGCCTGGTTTCGCCTGTATCCGCTTGGGCCGGGACCTGAGTTGTGCGCGCGGGCGACGACAATGTCAAGATGCACAGAGAAAGATTCGAAACACTTGTTGGTCCTCGGGTTGGGGTACTCGCTGTCGCCTTAGGGTAGCAGTTGTGTAGCAGACGACACGCTTCCTCGAAGCACTTGGTACCCTAGAATGCACCTGACCGCTGACCCCAAGCCTGCAACCGGCCTAGCCGCCAACTCTAATCTATTTATTTCCCCTGCAGCCGAACGAACACCTGCCTTTTCCATCCACTTTCCGTTGATATATTGATATACTAACTACAACTAACCACATACCCTTTGAACAGCCAACAACAAGTCCATCATCTACACTCCAGCTGCCGTCTGCCGCCGCCATCTGCCGCCTGCGCGCCGATGCCGATGAGATGAGATGAGATTATCATGACTACTACTCTCACTGTGAGGTACCCGGTGCCAGCCGCTAGCCATACCTCGCCTATTCCCATTGGCTGCACGCTTACTGGGTAAATACTGGTCTGCGTGTCTAGATTCATCGTTTATGGCGCCCAATATATCGCCAATCTCATCTTGCACCGCGTACAGTACATACAGCTCAACCCCGCCAGCCACTTGGATGCCTCCTAGACAAGTCGGCTGGTATCCGCCGCGCACTCACACTGGTCGAGAGCTGTCTTGATTATCAAGCCCAGTATCGTCCTGGCCCTGCTGTTCTGCTAAATGCGCGCGAAACACGACGAACCACAGCCGGCCATGTTTACTCTTTTATGTGGGGTTCTCCCGTACCCGCCCTTTCATTTCCTTTTTCGACCACTCACATGAGCGTGTGCGGAAATTCTGTACCACGATAACGCCCGTTCTCGCGCCGGTGCATCGGGCATTTCTTGCCGTTGATGATCTCGTGGTCGAGACCCCGAGCTCTGACCACTTCGTCACTGACTATCGAGACTGGAGATTTGCTTCGCTGTAGTATAGGTATGGATGAGGGCAGTAACAAACCAGGAAAGAAGACCAAGAAAGTCCATTTTACTGCAAACCGTGGTATGCCAATTTGTCGTATGGTTATGAAGATCCTGTATTTTGCATAACGATGCCAACTGCCCGGCGGCCGTGGTGCGTCAGAAAAAGTGGCTGGGCCATCTTGGCCCAACTCACAGTCCCGTCATCGTAGACATGGGTGGCATTACTTACACTAACATCCTCACCCCAAGTTCTAAGCGGATCATGAAGCATCCACCAGATGGAGGCGCTGTTACACCGCATCTGATCGCGCAACCACATGCATGGAATGTGGCAAAGTTTGTGATACCCGAAGCAAACCATGGATCAATGCTGGAGGATCGTACATCATCCGTCATCATGGGTTAATGCACTCGTATGCCCAGCATGTGATCTTCAAAACACAGCCGCAGCGATCTACGTCAGTACCGACAATGCTTTGAACACCTCCAGGTTTCACCAGAGTCAACCCCAACGTTATCACCAATACTATACCTCTTTGCCAGGCACTACCTCGACCAACCCCCACTATCTAACCCTCACGGTATGCATCATCTAAACATTGTGCCACACATACGCACCTGATCGTCACTATCCGCTCGCCGTCGTCGATCCCTCTGGACCCCTTGCCGTCGAAAATATATCCCCACACTATCAAGTCAATGCCGTCTGCCGGATCGACGGAAAAGAAGCCCTGGGCCAATGACCGCGCGCACACCGCCAACCAACGTGTCCAACAAGTTACAGCCTCCTTCTTGCCAAAGACCAAGACAGATACCAAGGAACATCTCCCGACGCTTAACACCAACCGATACACCTTCTTTTTTCCCATCCCCAAGTCTGAAACATGTGGCAGGTAGAAGCCGACCTCCAAAAGCATAAAAAAACGTGTGGACAACGACTTAAACCGCGACACGCCAAAAGTATCATGCATAACAAAAACTCTAAAAACTTCCGCTTGGCAGGCAAGCGCCCAACCGTGCTGGTAAGACGGTGGCTCCGTCGTCTTCCGCAGCCATTCGTATCCGGCGGAGTATTACCCGAGATATCATGTCATTACAGTTAGCTAACGTCAGCGTATGGCGGAGAGATTGGGACATCTTCGTAGCCAGTGATGAGGGAAAGAAAAACCTCAAGCCCGCCGCTGCTATGACGAATGTTGGAAAGCGTTGTGGTAATGACGCAACCCTCCACTCTTTCATCCTCAAACTGTTGGGACTAATGTCAGTGAGCTTCGGTTATTGAACAACTAACATCACGCTGTCGTGTATACTGAAACACCGTCTCCCCAAGAGAACATGTCATCACCAGCCCCTAAATCAAGGAAACAACCAGCCTAAGCATGCACTCGAGGAACAACAACAACCGAAGTTTGGAACCGACTCCTCCCTCTTGGTCTTGACTTTCAAATACTTCAGTCTTATTTTGCGTGCTCCATAAAGGCTACTATCCGTTTGCGAGTTGTACTACTCAACATTCTTGATTGGGTGGGTAGGAATTAAGAACCGCGCAGGCAATGGAGAAAACATTAAACTTCCATCTTCCTTTCGACTCATTCAGGAGCTTTTGTATGCACACTTGATGCCGTGGATTACTGGTGGAAACAACACGCAACTTCCCCCTGTAAGGGCACCTGAATGACCCCAGTGTCGACTCCAAGTTCGGCATTGCACGCGTTCACTAGATGCCTTCATGGACGAGTTCCCAGTGCAACTCCAGGAACACTTTTGGCACCCTCGTACCCGGTGACTTTAATTTTCCACCAATGATCCATATCGTGTTGAAATCGTCCTTTGGATAGCGAATCAGATTAAATGTTGTAATTTCGACGTGACAATTCGAAAGACTTACAGCGTTGATGCCCCATATAGCGGAGAGAAACGTCATGTTACATTCGTTGAGGATAGTCCCACGGAGTCGAATTCGTTCGTCGCCGTTAACAACCATCCAATAGAAACGGACGCCTGTTGATATCAGCTACCAATATCATCGCTCACACGAAGAACACAGGTCTTACCTCTTCTCCCACCAATCCATTCGGAGCTTAGTGTGTGGCCATCCCGAGTACCTATGGCAAAATTCCAACCTCCGTCCCTCCTCCCTGTTCCAGTCACGCGGAAGGGATCGAAATTGTCATCCGGATTTCTTCAAATGGGCCTGGATTAGCGTTTGTAGTTGAGCATAGAAAAAAAAACCGGAAAGCTACTCACACCCAGTGTCGATTTGTATCTACCCTCGTACTGCCATGGTAGAGCTAAGAGAAAATTAGTTCTGAGACCACGACTGCTGCTGCTCCTCAAGAGGGTGGAACTTGCATCGACCTGTATGTGACCATAGCGGATTATAGTTGTTATTTCGGATGCATCCCTTGAGTTACTGCATGTGCAGCGACTTGCACATGCGCCTTGGCGGGCCTGCAGAGGGAAAGGCACGAAGCCGAGTACAGATGTTATGACTAGGTGGAGAGAATCAATACAAAAGTAAAAGGATATAACAAATGGATGAAAGAGCGGACTCACAATACAATAACAGCAGCAGACGCTGCAAGCCGAAGGGGTGCACCATGATATGTAGCAGTAATGAGGGTTATTGGTAGAGACAGTCCGTTGCGTGCAAGTACTTCTATCTCACCACAACAACAACAGAATCCTTCTTAACCACACAGTCAAGATTCTCGTTTAGTCAATGCGTTTTATTGGTTCTCATATCTGGTTGGAGGCCATCCCATATACGAGAACGCAATCTCGCCAGTCTTCCCAACACATCATCGCAAGCAGCAAACACTCGAATCAAATCCAAAGGTCCACTCGCGCCTGCTCAGACAGAACAAAACGGGGCATTGATTGCATCTGACGTCCTTTTTTGCGCTGGTTATCGGTCGCCATGTTGGGTTTGGTAGGCGATTGTATCATTGGGCTGGACTGCTCGTAAGCTTCGTATTCCCCACACGCCCGCAGACGAAGATCGTGTCTGGGCTCGTGAATATGTCGCTTAGGACCGCAAACAGCATGTGGTAATTAATTGTTTGGGCGGTGGGGGTGGGGTGGGGTTGGTTGGTTGGAAGACGGGTTGTGGTATATGAGTATATGTTCTGTGTAGTGGTGTCTAAACCCATTTTCTAGAGTGAATCTAACTCCATCTTCTACTACAACTCTCCATCCGTCTATATATTCCAGATAGCAAATCCTATTCATCACCACAACACCTGCTTCCTCCCTTCTCTAACCCCACACCCTTCCCCCTCCTTCTATACACCCACACCGATCTTCCCTCTCCCTTTCCTAACCACACACCCTACCCCTACCCCCTCCTTCCCTTCCCCTTCCCACTCCCGCACCCATCTAACCCCTACATCCCACAACCTTATACTACCCCCACTTCCACAAATCCAACCCAATCCACCACACTCACAACCCTTAGACCATGCTTCACATGTGACTATCCGCTCAGACTGCTTCCACTGTCTTTTGTATGAGCGCTGATACGGGGTTTTGTACGGGAGGGGGGAAGGAGATAGTTAGGGTTGATGGGGAAGTAAGCGCGGATTGTGATAATGTCTAGAGCAAGGATTACAGTTTTTTGTTTATAGCCGTAGTGTATAACTACGGGATTTATAAGGTGGGGAAGGGTTAGAGTAGTAGGTACGCACAGCTTTGTTGAATCGTCGGTCTTTAGATATACAGGGTAGCTTAACGTGTATGCCCGCACAAAAAAAGGCAATTTGAAAATACACGCTATATACTGTGGTGTAGTAGCTTGTCACGTGTTCGGCGTTAGGTAATCGGCGCTAGGGTTGAGTATTTTAGGGCGACTCCGCGAGGAGAAGCTCGACATCATCGGATCAGTTATCGTACACCATTCTTAATACTACCGTTTATTGTTCGGATACCTTCTTGTTCTCTACTCTCTACCGATTGCGGGTCGGCAGCCTCTCTTCTGACTATTGAGGCTATCCCTCTACCACAATACATACACTTGATAAGATGCGAGTCTATAGACACGTGCGTCTATCTTGACCATCATTGTCTACACGTACATTAGTATAAACAAATTGCGTTGAATAGCCGTATACATCAAGCATAACTCGTTGTAGAGTACAGTAAACCCCTTTTGCCAATCAATCTATCCTTTCATCAATCCAAACAAGGACTGGCTATCCAATCTCTCTGCATGGGCCTCTAAATATCCACTGTCTATATAGCACAAGCCTTGGGTCTGACTACTAAGGTGCAAGACGTGCGAGGAGACTTTATACAAGACTCAACTCCACCAAAAGAGGTTCGTCTTCATAAGCCTCAACACGCCAGAATATGGACATGTCGCGCGTCTACACCGAGCAAAGCCTCAAAGCGGGTCCGCATCGACAAAACTCTGGAGATCGACATACCTGGTCTCGCCCCATTTTCCCTCAGCAGCGAATCAAAAGCTTTGACCATCTGACTTCACAGCTGCCAACCCCTCCCCCCCCCCTAACATCAGGTACACCTACACTGCCTTGCTGGTCATCTCCACCAGTGGGAAAAGGAGCCGCCGTCGACTACTAGCCGGATATCGGTCTCCAGCCAAAACGTAATCTACCCCCTCAGTCTATTGGTCGGCAAACTAAGCCCCTGGGAGCACTAAACAGTAACCCTGTGTACATTGCACTCGCCCAGACACTCTCACCACCTCACATATCAGTCCAAAACTCGTCGAGTATAGAAAGCCACCCCCATACAAAAGACCAAAATCCGTGTCTTGAAAAAAAAGCGGTCAACCCTCCATGCTCAGCACACACCCACGCCGCAATCGGCATAGTCAAAAATCCCACTTCCGGACACCCGCCTCTGTCGCGCCTCACTTTTCGGCCACAACAACCCCCTCTCCAGCCGCCCCACGACATGGGAACGGGGTTTATCCTGAGTGTATTTCGGGTTTTTTTACGTGAGATGGGTGTACGTACGGTAGGAAAATCCCAGCCACGAAAAAAAAGCCTTGGTAATGCTCCGTGCGTGATCGATGATCCACATCAATGGAGGGGGGAGGGGGGGCAATTAGCATTTTCCGGCGCTTGCCGTAGCCGAATGACATGCACGATCAAGGATGGTTGTACGATAGATCTGTGGTTCACGCGGGCCTTTGAGAGTTTGGCTAGTGGTAGGTAAGCGTTATTGCACACGTGTTTTGCTGACTTATCGCCGTCTTGTAAGCATGTGCTGATGCATGCGTCGAAGATTCTGGTTGATTTCTGAAACCGAGTCATTTCTTCCTCCTCTTCATGTGGCAGTGCTGGAACATCAGAGCCAATCGTTGGGTGAAGCGTAAAGTGTGTTTCGTAGTTACGGTGTGCTGAGGGTCCGGATATCCTTGATCGTATGTCGTGGCAGTATTGTGATCGAGATAGTGAAGCAGCTGAGGCTGTTCGGGTATCCACCGGAAGAAAATATCCCTTGTTGATATTAGTGAATAAGGCGGGCGACTGGTTGTGGAAACTTGACCGTGTTTTTTGCGGTCCTTGTGAGGCGTCACGTTGGCAGTGTAGCTGACCGGAAGATGTGAAAGGCTGGTGCAGGACCATACCGTTGGTTCATGTGTCTATCACAGCTTTTGTTCCGGGTTCTCCTTCCAGGATTAACCTGGTATGTACCATGGCTTCGACTAAGACCAGCACCATACTCAAGTCCGTCTGTTCACATCTAGTAAGGCAACGACTACCAGAAAAGCCGTATGCAGCGATTATTGCGAAGAATAAACACCTGTTAACCAGCTATGTCACGATGGGTTCTTGGTGATACAAGCACACTTGTTCCATTATCGGAAGAGTGGAGACCACATCGTTGTAGCTGCATTAGGGGAGTAATACATGCTCTGACCTGGTAAAGGATTTGGTAAACTTGCTACGATGGTTGCATAGCCTGCTACAGTACCATCTCTAACAGACCATGATTCATTGGCGTTTTGGTGTAGCGCGTTACTTCTTATCCATCTGTAGCTTCAGGATATCGGTGGTTGGGCAGACATGCAAGGCTCAACCGAAAGTGGGCATCGTACCTGAAAACTGGCATTAGAACCAAGCGCTGAGCTGCTATTCGTTGTATAAGCGTGGTACAGTTATCCCAAACAAACCAAGTACTTTTGACCTTCTTGCATGATTGCAGTCAAGAGTCGCGCCCCATATTTGCGCCCACGGCGGACTACCAAATGCCGCGGACTGCGCCATGCTGTCTTACTTTTACTCGGCCAAGTTGACTTCCATATAATTGAGGCGTGGTGTGACACTTTCCTCGCAAGGTCACCCTTGCGATGCTTGAACCCCCCGAAACACCAACTCCGCCTTCTTCTCATAATATCTGCTGTGTCGTGGTTATTGCTTCCAAAGGGAAGATATGACGTCGGCTTTGATGATACCATTTGACGAATCATGCATGGTGAGTTGGCTTATGGGAGACTGCATCTGGAAACATGCGGGGTAAGCCTGGCGCATGGAGCTGATAGCCGTCTCAATATGATACGGCGCTTCCCGCATTCGAAGTGGGCTGCTTGAATATTGGGCATTGGGCACATGTTCGTGTAATCGCACACGTGTACGCAACTCAATCGGCTCTCCTAAAAGCCGAGACTTCCTGCTCAATTGCATTAGGGTGGTCATCTTTGGTCGAAATTACAGTTCCAATATGCTGGATAGTCTGCCGAGCCACGATAGCTTGGGAAGGCGTTCTGTCCCGGAAGCCCGGAAGGAAGAAAGGTGGTGGGCACTCGTAATCGAACAGCCTCACATCCATGTTACCGTCAAAGGGTGGGATGGGGTATGTTTTGAGCCACCGATGCTACACTCGCAATCCGGGTCCTTCTGGTAGTAGTAGTGTCGAAGCAGATCGTCGTCGACGACAAGCGGGGTAATCCAGGCTCGCCTCACAGATAAGCTGTGTATACTCGCCACTTTATGCCGGCGCTGCTTTGGCCTTCCGTAGAAGAAGCCCAAGTACCTGGGTACGGTCGGTGGATAAGCTAATGATATGGCGAATAATGCGGTGATACGGGTTCTGGCTAGTTCCGCCTTGGTCTAGTCTTGTGGTTGATGCACTCATACCCAGGGCGTGTGTGGTGGAAGGGATCTCCTTACCATGCTCGCATCCTTCGCTTGCCGGACCTAGCGGTGAAGCAAAAGTGGACAAATTCTCCAACACCGACTTGCTGGAAATTCCTCAGTTCGGTTACCGTGGAGTGACACGCTGGTCGCGATGGCGGAAGCCAACCCGGGTGGTGGTGATCGGCGTACAATCTTGCAGCCAAGAGGTTTTACGCGCAAGATTCTTGCACTTGGACAACATCAGCTGCTGGACTTGGGCCTTTGCAGGAAGGTGTAGTGAAAAGAAAGCATACGGCAAGACTAGTTTGAGATTGCGGTGGCAAAGAGATCGTCTTAAAGCATGCGCAGTCGTTCGAAATGACCTTTACACTGTAGACGTGGCAGTTGCGTTGGCTGCGCCTGGCATTAGCGCCGAGACATGAGGCATATTGCCAAACGGTTGTAGTGCGTCGAGTATGCCAGACATACCAGGTAATGCAGGGGAAATTTTGTGAGTGGTTGATTGAGAGAGTGCTCCACGTCGGTCTTACTCGGTGCCCAATGGCGTCGGTTGGGCTTCGTAGGGCGAACAATGAGGCGAACGGCATCAGTGCGTCCACGCCCAACGCGGGACTTGGTTGCAATCGACGCATCACATCTTCATCCGGAGAGGGTCCGGTGTAGATATTTGTAGGTAACCGAGAGTCGACCTGCAAGGCTGTCGGTATGTGTATAAGTTTTCGGCGTGCCCAACCTCCTCCCTGTACCATCAACGCACGAACACATACCATAGCTGCCCCATAACACCTCTTCATCGTGACTGTTGCAAGTTAAACATCATGGCGGTGCCCAACTCCTACTTCGTCCCAGGCTTCGGCATCTCAAGAGCCGTCATCCAAAACGAGATCCGCTATCATTGTGGGCCGGATGCCATCGTTCGACCGTACACCTTCCAGGTACTTGTCGGCCATTACCAGTGACGAGAACGGGGTATTGATGTGACCTTTAGGGACGCGATGGCTTCTTGATCACAACGATTGGACCCCCCTTGACCAAGGTACTTTGAGCTTTCCATGGCATGGCGAACAAGAGCTGATTGGATAGGCACAAATCGACGACCTGAAGATGTCTTCCCTCGAGTACGAAGAGAAGCAGTCCCGCATCGCAAACGAATCGAACGTTTTCGTAAATGCGCCTATTCCAATAAATCAACGAATACGCCGAAGCACATGATGACGGACAGGCCAGCTGTGGCTTCTTCTTCTTCTTCGCCACAATCGAGCGGCCCGAAAAGCATTTGCCCTATACCCCGTATTTTCGGCGAGCTCGATCTCCCACTTATCAATTTGTTTAGCGTGCATGCCATCTGTGGGTGGATTCTGATTGATGAAATAACGGTATATGTTTCTTTACGACTCCTTCATGTCTTGGGTTAGGCGTTGTCGGGTTTTTCCAGAAGGCGGCCACTGCGGCCGCGATTTTTCTGTCGAACCGGGTTGATCAAGATGTATCATTAACATCAATTCAAATTTACCTGTTCACTGTTGTTATTTGGCTTTCTCCATGGATTGCTGCAGTACGCTTGCGTCATGTGTTCATGTCCTGGTGGCACTCTGCCCGACAAGAGCCGATGGCAAAACTCATCGGCTCTAGAACCTGGTCTAAACGAATCGAAGAAACATGCCAATGGCCGTATTTGATAGGGCTGGAATTAGGGAGGGGAAGCTTGAAGAGGGATGATGGGACAAAGAGTGCCTGCCATAGTACTTGGGGCCGTGTCAGTCTTGTATTGATCGGCGGAAACTGACAACGCAAGATGCAGCAGCCGTACTGGTGCCACGTTATCCCAAACCCGGTATATGCGTGCGAAAGAGGGAATTAGATGGCGACATGTGTAGAGGCGTTGTCGGGTGCTGATGATGAGGCGGCTGAAGCTCCGCCCCAGTGACGCAGGAGCAGCCCGCCTGTGATTGGACGGAACGCGAGCGCAAGTGAAGTTTCGTCGCGACAACGCACCGCCTCAATTGGCAACCATCGCATCGCATCGCCCTCGAGTTTGACACGTAGTCGTGCTGCAGATGTCATATTCATGACTGTCTGCCCAATGGAAGCGAGGGATCGAAATTTTCCCCAGATGCCCCTGCGTCGAGATCGCGTGAACTGCTGGCGGAAAGGCTGGCAGCATCGAGCTGACATGTTTACTGAAATCCCACGTTATCGAAAACCCTGAATGGATTATTAAGCGTTCAATAGCATGCAAAGTGTATTGACCCTATGGTGATCCTAGATCCCGTCATGGTCACATATCTGCCTACGCAATTCCTCTATACATTGTACCTGGGCCTGGCGCTGAGGCGAACCATCGAACGTCGTCTACCACACTCTTCGTCACCACTGAGAATACACGCATCTCTGCGTATCAGTGACTTCATCTAGACCATTCTGGCTTCTGATATTGGTCGATTGTACCATATTGAGCGAAATGGCCAGATGGCCTTAGGTGCTAGGACGGTTCGTACATGTGTACAGCACATGTACTTTTATCGTTGTATGCGCGCATATGTAACGCCTTCATCAGTAGGTAATAAAGCCTTATGTGATGCGGAGATGTTTTTATCCAAGAGTCATCTCGACCATGGTTACTATTCGGTTGTGTGCACCAAGGGTTCAGTCAGGGACTCCTGCCAGCATAAGAATGACGCGTATTATTATGTCCAGGGAACTCGCTTGGTTCTCTGCATCTTCGCTTCCGGAAGTCGCAAATAATACCACTTTTCCGATCCCCAAGCACAGCATCTGCCCCTTACAGTGAACATCAATACCACACAGCATACCGCCGACATGTCGTCGAGCTACTCTACAGCCCCGTCAAGGTATACATCTTCCAGAATCTTCGGATGTTAACATGGCTAACGAAGTCGACAGTCCCGCAATCGGCACATTGGAGGACTTTAGGACAACAAAAATAGTCCCGCTTCCAACCGCATGCCCCGGCGAAATATGCTGTATCTGTCAAGAAACATATGACAAATCACACCAAGCAGTCACTGTGCTCGTAAACAACTGTTACCATCGCTTTGGCCAAGAGTGCCTCGAAAGATACCTCAACAGTGGGAGTCGACAGAACAACACATGCCCGCAATGCAAACGAGCATGGTATACGCGAGTGACTGCCTCTACCAACACATCTTCAACAGCAAACCTGCCACCAGTTCAGGCGCAACCAGAACCACGACCGACGACACACGAAACACGGTCAACGGTGTGGCAAGAGGAGGATTTGTACCACAGAATGGCAAACGGCCACCTTGCACAAGCTCTAGAGCATCTAGATATGGTCGAAGACATCATCTCTAATAGACGCACGACTACTAGAGACATTCTTCCAGTACTCAAAATAGTGGAGCGTCGTGCCAAGGAAATCCACGACGAGCTTCAGCATGGTGATGATGTATCTCGTCATGTGGCACGTCTACATAATGACCGAGCTATTCGAGCCTCCATGGATATTGGAGTTTCGCTGAATGGGGCTTTTATGAGCCGATAATCAGACTCCGCAACAATCAATCGATTGACATGATTGATTCCTATATAGGTTAAAGAATTACTTCATTAGGCAGCCTTTAACCTAGATAGGAATCAATCATGCCGATCCGATTGATTGTTGCGGAGTCTGCCGATAATGATCGATTTTTTAATTCCTCTGATGGCTTTTCACAGACCATCCATGAATTACAAGGGTTAGCAGCTGAACTCCCGCATTATGATGTGGATTTGATGGACTCTGTGGTGACAACTCAATAAAACGGGTGATATTAAACATCGGAAGCTGGGAAATTCGGGGCGAAAAGGTGTACTTCGAGAAGTGGATTGTCTGGTAGAGTTTGATTGGGAGAAAGATGAAGGACGCCTGAAACTCTGATGCGGTTGTCTGGCCGTGGAAAGTGGGCATGTCCCTTGATAGTCGGAGCGATGAACAGCAAAATAATACTACAAATCCCAGTGTATCCGAGAACTCCCGGCTGATCTTTTACATCATCTCATAACCCCTACCATAGCTAGTCATCAAGTTTGTTATTCTGTTGCTATACGACGTATACTTTAAGCGTGTAATGTACATGTCTACAAAACACATTCACAAACCATCCACCACTTTCGCTATCCAAATAAACCAGATACACAAATGAGAGAGGCAACGTGGTAAAACAAATGATTTCAAACCCACAAAAGAGTGGCATTATGAACTACCAATACTGTCTAATAATCCCCATCGTCCACGATAAATGAATGTGTACATGCAGAAACTCGGACAATCTTTAAGAAAGACAAGTACTCCAACTCGCTATGCCCAATACCCACAAAAAAGGACCGTCCTAGGATAACCTCTCACAGCCTCATCCATCAACCCGCTCACCCCTCCAAACTCCCTCATACCCATCTACAAACTACACTCAATAGTAAACGCCGTAACATCCATCGGCCTAGCCTCACTCGTCACATCCAAATCCACAAAAGTGTTCCAAGCATTCAGATAGATATCCCCGTAAACAGCCGGGTTGCGTACCACGCAGCGCACATTGTTGCCACCCGCGCCGGGGGTAACGGCCTGCAGCGAGGTAGCGAGGACAGGGTTGCCAAAAGCGGAGCCGAAGAGTTGGTCGAAGGTTTTGGCGCCCGTGTTGGGAATGATGTCGACGTTTGCGTTTTTGCCGCTTTGGTCGTTTGAGAGTTGGACTTTGAAGACTACGGGGGCGTCGCGGGGGAGGGAGGGCGCGGCGAGCGTGGTGGCGGCAAAGGTGGTGAGAGTAGCGAGGATGGTTGAGGGCTTCATGTTGTGTAGTGGGTTGGTTTGGGTTGGTTTGGGTGTTGTAAGGAGGGGGTGGTGGTGAAGTGAGGTATTGAAGTATGGAGATGTGAAGAAGATGTTATTCTTGTAGATGAGTTGTTGTGATGCTATGAGATATTCTTGCATTCCACCCAGAACCACCCTCTCTTATACCCATTTCTGCCTCCCCATCCAGCCTCATATGAGAAGCTCGTGATACTCGTATACCAGCATTGCCCCAATGCCACGTCGTGAGACTGCGCGAGCTCAGCAACGTTAGTAAGTTCAAAAAAGGCCAACGTCAGCAACCATCTCGTTAGCAAACTCAGCCCATCTCGAGATTTTTTACGTACAATCAATTTCGACGTCGCCGTTGCTGTCTCGTCAGGTCTCACCACTTGCGCGGTTTAGTGGAGGCGGGTCGAGCCTGCCGAGACGAAAATGGTGGTGCGGGATGCAGTCAGGCGCGCTTTCAAGCGAGCGGCTGAGGGAATTTCGACATGGAGGGGAAGTAATCTGACGCCACGTTTCCGCAGTATACATACTGTATGTTTGCTCCGATGGCTTTTACCTGGAAGGGTTAGTAACCGGTTTACACGGCGATCCACAGCCACAGCCACTCTGGCGGCAGTGGACGTGTGATTGGCGGAGCTGACGAATATGCGGCTATAATTACATGCATGCTGATGTTCTTGGCGTTGTTGATTGACGGTGTGGTTTTGATGTTGCTTTCAGATGAGTGAGACGCGGGGTAGTGTGTGGAAGTAACGTGGAGGCTGAGGTCTCAGCCGCAGCTCTTCGGATAGGACCCGCTACTTGACATTTTGGAGGTACAAGTACCGTCACTCAGCTTGTAGTTGCTTTTGTACGTCGTATTAAGCCCATAATATCTTAAATGAAGTAGTTGACTAGCAAAACATGCTCTTGTATTATTCAGCAAGTTGCAGTTACGTGAGCTGCATGCGCCGAGTTCTCTACTTGGCCTTGATGGGCGGGGAGGTGCGAAAAATAGAACTATACGTAAAGTCTATCATTCATTGGCATACCAAGAGAGCGATGGTGAAATGGTGACCAGAAGTAGGCGCACTGCCATTAGGTCAGTTGTCCGCAATCTATAGGGAATTTTCAGTCGTCGCGTCTCCCACCTCCTCTCTTGACTTTACTTCTGATTCTCATCGTAGTGACAGCTAAGTCGAGTGTATGCAAGACTCCGTCTTGTCTGGTGTCCCGGCCGACGATAGTGTGTCGGGGTCCTAGAGGCATGTATCCAAGTGGTATAGGAGATGTTATAGTACATCCAGGAGATACAACGACCAACTACCTAGGTAGCTTGAAGTCACTCCTGTTGGGGAATACAAAGCCAGTACGGAGTCCTAGATGACTGGCGGTGGTACCCTCTTCTTGCTCCTTCTCAACGACGGCTGGGCTATCTTTTCATTTCGATGCCTCTGGCAAGCTCTACTGCTCTTATGCGTCGATGATAGCGAAGCGGCGGGATTAATCCAAACCGCACCTCAATATTTCCTTCTCTTCTCCTCCACATCAAAGCGATAGTCTGATGTCAAAAATATCTCTTAGCCGCGGCGATACTTGCGCACTATAAAGAGCCGGTCACCGCCTTGGCGAATGCTCTCTTTCCTTTTTAGAGTTTGGGCGATGGCGCTCATTGGCCGGGTTAACTAGAACCTCCAAGTCGTGTGATATGGCAAGGACAGGTCATGTGTAGAACCTGGCAATTGCCATATCGGCAAATAAGTACAAGGGATTTCTACAAATGGCTCTCTTTGCTCTCTTCGTGAAGATTCTACCCCTTGTTATCCCTTGTCGTACGTCCTTGGCAAGCACGCACAGGCGATCTTATCCATCCATGTGATGATCAGCGTCCATTCAAGTCTCTGTTGGAGAAGGAGGCGCTGGGTCAGCTGGCCATGTATACGACAGATGGCCGATAAGCGCAAAGTCAGAATAGTACATCGCTCATAGAAGCCATGTAGTTATAATAAACATTTGATATGATGATGAAAAATCGAAAGTTGGGTTGAAGTCGCGTCGTCGCCGTCTCCTGGCCTGTAGCGGTTTCGTGTGATCAGAAGGCGCTAATCTCAAAGCGGCGGCTTTCAGCGGGGCCTCCTGTCGCACTAAAGTCCAATCTACCCAATGACGTCAATAGCTGGATTTCCCCCGGCATCTTCTATTGAACATGAATCCACCAAAAGGAATGACCTCCGGGGCTTGGTTGGTGGATACATGGCCACGTACATACACGTCTTCATGTGTCTGTGGAAAACGGTATGCAACAGCGCTCAGCTATTCTGACCATGAATGGTGTAGTGCCTGTGCAACTATTGTTGCGACGCGGGGGCGACGCGAAGCGCGTTGTCTCTGTACCAGTATGTACCCAGCGTCCAGGTGTGCTCAGACAAGGTTTGTTTAGTTCCCTGCCACTTTTGTTTGGGTCATATATTGCATGTTTCCTTCTTTCGTTCTCTCTTCTCAATTATCTTGCCTGCCTGTTTTTTCGCAGTAGACACCTACGTAGGTAGCCCTGGGTCCCATCTTAAGCGGCAAGCGACAGCTTTCTTTCGCCGAACCTCTGAACACGTACCAGCACGAACACCACCACCACCACCCCGTATTTTTCGCACCCAGCGACGTGCAGCCGGTACTTCTCTCGACATGACATTTGGCAGCGCACAGACGTACCAATTTGCTTTGACGGCCAAGGAATGCGCCATCTTTCGCGCTATACGCAATGTCGAGCCAGGCCTTGTTTCCGCCAACCTACCTAAGACGTTAGAACTCTCTGTCAAGAATCAAGATGGCGGCTTCATTGGAAGTTGTACGATTGAAACCAGGGACATGTTCAAAAACTTTGTCAGCGCCGCTGTCGGATTTTACGAGGAACTGATCAAGGATCCTGCTGGAACACTCGAACCTGTTGAACCAGAGCTTGTCTACACTGAATCCGCAACCCAGACACAAGAGATTACAGTTGTGGCCCCAGATCTAAAGAGTATAGTCAGAGATATGTCATGGGTGCAAATTCGCGAGGCCAAGATTCCGGCTTGTGTCAAACAAGTCGCTTTCACAATAGACGACCATGGCCTCACTCCGGACTATCGGGAAGAATTGCAGTCTGAATACCCAGGTGTTGCAATCTTAACACCTAGCATGAGGATGAAAGAAGAAGTGGCACAGAGGGTCTTGGAACAGGCAAAAGCTGAAATTACAACTCCTATGAAGATGGAAGAAGAAATGACGCAGGGAGTCCTGGAACAAGCAAAACCCAAAGGAGTGACGGAAATGATCATCGAGCTCGACGAGGCCGAAGTTGCCCAAAATCCACTATTAGAGAAGGTGATGCGAGACCGACATCCGTGGGCAACTATAGAGTCAAGGCCTAGCCCCAGCATATCCAGGAAGCGTACCCAGCGAACAACCGAATCCCGACCCTCATCACCCCGCAGACCAGACCCACTGGAGCATTTGAAAGACCTTGCGGATTTCGCAGTCGGGCCAGACCCGCCTGCAGACGATGAGTTTGGATATCGGTTTGCCATTAGCACAGGATGGAATACATTATCCTACCCGCGGAAGCTGGAAATTGCACATGCCCGAGCCATTCAGCATCACTATGGCAAAGTGGCCGATGGACTAGGATGCTCGCACTGTGTTGAAAAGGGATACCAGTGCAAAGTATACCTTCCACAGCTCTGCAATCTCTCCCACATAGCATTCGGCCAATCATGCCAAAACTGCAGACTACAAGGTGTCCGATGCGATCTCCCTGCCGCGACACGAGAACGCATGCCGGTACCAACGGGACCCGCAGCACTGCGACTCGACACACAAAACGTGCCCAGCTTTGGCTCGCATGAGACACCCTACACGCCTCCGCCTACGACAACATCCAACACGCCAAAGCCAAATCTTGCATCCCGAATCACAAACGTCGTCTCCAGCGGCCCCGACTCGTATTCACACTGCGCCTACTATAAATCACGCGACATACTCCAATTTGCAGACGAGATCAACTACCGCGTCCCCGGAAAAGCGCGCATCGTCATAAGCGCCATGTACGGCAAATTGTGGAAGCACCTCGAAACGGAGCCGTACGGAAAACGCTTCATCACCCTCATGCTTCACTACGAGAACCTCATTACCTTGTACGTCCTCACCTATCTGCGCAAGGAATACGAAGAAGCCTTCCAAGTGCTCCTACGCTTCCAGCACACAAACTGCAACAAACCGGGTCAGCTGCCCGAGGTAGACGCCGTACTCCCGCTGTTCGAGTGGCTGCCAGCCGACGCGCCGTTGCGGCGGTGGGTAGCCATTCTGTTCGCAACGCGCTGGAACTTCAGTCAGATGGAAGCGATGGAACTGCAAGTCCGCCAGAACGAGGTGCTGAAGACTTTCGTACACGAAGTCGCAGCCGCCAGGGGCTCGTCTGACGGACAGGGTGTCGATGAGCTGCAGAAGAGGTGGTGCGAGGTGCATTTGCACGAGCTCGGGTCCGAGGAACACCAGGAGTGTGAGCGCATGGAGGAATCGTTGGAGGAGGAGGTTGTGCCGACGGTGTGGAGAGATGACAGGGGGAGGGAGGCCGTTGGGAGGCCGACGCGGGGGAGCAGTGCTGGGCCGGTATCGCCGGTTTCTGGGTCCAAGAGGAGAGCTGACGATGATACGGCGCAGAGACCGTTCAAGTGGAGGGGAAGTGCGAGGGGAAGGGGTAGAGGTGGTAGAGGGAGAGGAAGGGGGGAGAGCTCAAGGTGGGATGACTAGGTCATGCTTGTATGGCGTGACTGAGCGTCCATTCATTCACCTGATGGATTCCCCGCGTTCTTCCTAGCACAAGATGGGATGGCTAGACCATGCTGATATGGCCTGAGTGATTCGTCGGCCTCCATTCATTTACCTGATGAATATTTCCGTATTCTTTCAATACCCCATCTAATCCAATCCAGCAAATGAAAGGAAAGGAAAACAAAACAATCGTAACCCGCCACCCATCCATCCATCCATCCATCCGTCCTTAAACAAACCCACATAGCATCCCCAGCCCTCAGATGAAACCCACCCATGGATACGCCCCAACCAAACCCTCCCACATGTCCCTCGACCCCGACGACGACGGAATAATATCCCGATCCAAGATATCCCTCCTCCACAAGCCCACCTCGTCGTGCTCCCCCAACAAGCTGCCCAACGGAGCCCCCCTAAACCATATACGATTCCCCTTTGCCGCAAACAAATTATGCAACATGAGCTCCTTCAGCGTCTTCAACACCGTCTCATCGCTCGCCAGGTCTTCCAGTAACTCCGGCCAAGAAGCCTCCTCGCCACCTCCCGGCAACAGCACGGACTGCAGGTGCAGAAATTCGAGGGTCTCTGTACAGGGCAGCAGGAAAGTGTGCAGGTCGCGCGGGTTGTGGACGTTGATGGGTAGTGTGGTTAGCTTGCAGCGCTTCAGCTGGGGGAAGACGCAGTGGCGGGCCATGTGTCCGAAGACGTCGTCTTCGAAGTTGGTGTGGCAATCTAGTTTCAACTCTTTCAGCTGCGCGGCTTTTGCCAGGAAACGGACTACGAAGGGCGCGCGTGCATTATCGTCGAGTGCGAAACCCTCATCCGGGCAGCGCCAATCGCGCAGACGAAGTTCCAATGACGTTAATTTCGCAAACGCCTCGTCAAACTTTCCAAGAACCGGTGCTAGACTCTCCAACCGCCCAATACCAACAGCGCCATAGTTGCTGTCCCCGACGTGAATACCACCAACACGCAACCCCGTCGCCGCCACCGCCGCCATGGTACTAACAAACGGTCGACTCATCTCATGTTGACTACACGCACAATACCTATTCCCAAACTTCGCATACTTCATCTCCAACCCGGCGTACTCAAACACCAAACTCTCCAGTTTACCCAGGCTCGCAAACACCGTCATGAGAACCTTGATATCCCACCTCGTCTCATTGAAAAACGTATTCGCCGCCGTCGATGCCGTACGCGCAGCATTCAACTGCCCGTTTAGCTCCGCGCCGCCTGTATGTGGCCATGGCGAAGCAGCTTGTTTCTCAGCAATGGTTTTGCTCGCGCGCCAGAGGGTTTGCGCGTGGTGTGGTGTAGCATCCACCACGAGATGTATGAGTGCGCCGGAGAGGGTGGGGTGCGTGTTTCTTGCTAAGAAGACGTCGAGGCTTGAACGGGTCCAGGAGAGGTGCTGGGTAGAGAGGTAGTGGGTGCGGAGGTGGTGGAGGGTTTGCTTGCTTAGTTCCTGGCTGGTTAGGCGCATGGAGCGGAAGGTGGGGAGGTCCAGGTAGGTGGATATTAGCTCGATTAGCTCCGTGGGGAGGTAGGGGTGTGTCATTTTTGACAGTGTAGGGGTAGTGGTAGGGGAAGAAGAGGAGGGTGTTGTCTTGATAAGTAGAAGAGATGGATGGGAACCGTAGTGTCGGATTACGAGTACGATAGCGGGGGCGGGGTTGGTGCCCGCATACCCGCGGATGGGGATGGGGGTCAACCTTGGGAACGATCCCGCTAGGTAGATCAGGTAATGCGGTGTTTAAATGAACATGCTTGGTTTCGCGCAAGTTGGTCATCACGGTATAGATAAGATGGTTGACCCGGAGGTTCTCGATGACATTGAATTGCTGTTGGCTTGTGTCTAATGGTACGGTTCAACTCCAATGTAAACGAACAGGCTCACCTTTTTTTCTCTTGCGTAATCAATTTTTGGAAATGTGGACATGTTGAATTTTCTCTAATTGTCCCATGGATTGTTCAGGAGAGGTACTTGGTGCTCTATCAGTATGTTTCTATGAATCAAGTTACGCCAAAACCACCGCCGAATATGCAATCCAAGGACCGTGAACGCTGTCTGATATGTAATGTGGGACGTCTATTCGCTATCGTCATCGCTGCTACTGCTACTGCTGTCGTCTTCGCTCTCGCTCTCGGAGCTGCTGTCAGTCTTCGCGGATGGTTTTTTGTCGGTGTCCGAGTCCGAGTCTTCGCTGTCTTCAGAGTCAGAGTCCGAACTGTCATCACTGCTATCAGAACTGCTCTCGTCGCTCGATACTTCAGTCCTCCGCTTGCGTTTGCGTGCCATGGACTTGGCTGGCTCCACATGCTCCATCAATGGATTTAGTGAAGTTCTAGGAGCGACGGCTGGTAGTACTGGCGCTGCACGGCTGAGTGCGTTCAAAAGATTCATAGCACGCTTTCGTTGAAGTCGTCGGATGAAACCAGGACTGTGTGGATGCACGGCCAACTCTGCAACGTCGCTATCTGTCTCTCTTCGCTTCCATTCCTTCAAGATGCGTTCTTGTTCCGCTTCCTCCTGGGCTACCTTGCGAGCTTCGGCGTCGTCCATTTGGGCGTCCTGTTCGTCGAGGTCCTTTACAGTTGCGTGACACCGCTCACGCAAACGTTCAATGACACCTGCACCTTGTAGGCCGGCGACGTACTCAATTAGTGCGTCCGAGTGTTGATCTGGGATCCGGAAGATATTTAGTGCGTTATCCACCACGTCGTTCTGCTTTGCTTTGTTGAACTTCCAGTTGGCGCGGTCGTAGTGGTATTGGTTAAGATAGCTGATGTAGATGGATGGATTCTTCTTCTTTCCCTTTGCTGAGTTCGGTGTGGCAGAGACAGCCGGCTTCGGCTCTGCAGGGGCGGAAATTGCCTTCTCCTCGATCACCGGCTTTGGTTGCTGCTTCTCCTTCGTTGCGTTTTCTGTCGGCTTGGGACTAGCGGTATCTTCCTTTGGCTGTTTCTTGTCGAGTTGCCCGTTTTTCCTGGCAGTCTTCTCCTCGTGGGCGATGAGCGAATGTAGGACGAAATTCGAGACCTCTGGTGGTTGCGAAACGGGTCCGTCGCCTTTCTGCTCTGCGACCCAAGCTTTGAAGTAGTCCTGGCCAGTGTTGCCGTCGGACTTTTTGGTGTCCGGGGTGAATGCGACACACTTTCTTCGATCGGTTGGTGGTGAGCCTGAGGGGTCCTTGCGGCTGGACTTGATGGGTCTTTGCGGGGTTCCGGCTGTTTCTGCGCTTGAATTTGACTCTGTGGATGGAAGCAAAGTTGCACGTTCCGGCTCGTCAGGTGAAAGAGCAGAAACGTGGTGAGGCTTAATGAGAACACGTGATCCGCCCTCGGAGGCACCGTGGTTGTCTCTCCGGCGTTTTGCTGGCTTCTCCTTCTTCTTGCGGTAATTGGAGTCTCCTTTGATGGCACCTCCTGATGCTGGAGCCCTTTCTGTGATATCCTCCACTATCGCGCTCTCTAGTTTAGTCTCGGCGGAAGGCAAATGAGTGGTCTCTCCGTTGACGTCGCTTTCAGCGTCAGCAGTCCTACTCTTCTTGGACTCTTTGGCAACATCCTCAGCTGGCTCATGTTGGTGTTTTCGCTTGCCGAGCTTTGGCGATTTGCCGTTTATGGCAGGCTCATTAGGCGCATGAAATTGCTGTTGGGCAACGTCTGGTCTCTCATAGGTATCAGGACGTTTTGGGTCGCTTGCTGGTGCTTGTTGTTCAGGTACGGCGACTCCGGGTTGCTTTTGGTTTTTCAGGGTGAGACCCAGTTTCCGCCATGCCGGCACTCTTGCACCGTCTTGAGCCATGATCAGATGTGGAATATGGATACTGATGGCATAGTATACAGAGGCTATTTCACGTCGCGCATGACCGAATCAGCTGGAGCAGAAGGTCTTGGGAGAAAGTCGAGGTCGAATGAGACGTCGCAGGCAGAGAATTTCGGGGCTGCTACTAGGTAGGCACAGACCAGGTGCCGGCGACGCCAGAGCTCCAGGCCACAAGCAACGCGTATGGTGACAGCCATCACCTCAACCCTCGCCTCCCCAAACTGCATCTTGCGCCTTTGGAGCTTATAATTGTCTCCACATATTGCTGAAGCTGAAATCGACCATTGCAAATAAACAAAGACCCGGCCCGCCATCATGTCTGGTGCGTTGTAGCTGCCGACAAGCTGTTTACCGCATATATGCTAACAGCTGCCCTGTAGGAAGCGCAGGTTACGACCGACACATTACCATCTTCTCGGACCAAGGTCGTCTCTACCAAGTCGGTATGCATGCCCGGTTATGACTCAATTCTTTGCAAAGCAGATGTGTAGACTGGATGCAGCCATACCCCCGCCACTACATCATCGTCTAGCAACAAACGTATTGCACAGCCATTGCCATGTATACTAACTGGTGCAGAATATGCATTCAAGGCGATTACGGCAGCAAACATCACATCATTGGGAGTGCGGGGCAAGGACTGTGCGGTAGTCATCTCGCAGAAGAAGGTGCCCGTACGTATGGAAGGCGCAAGGGGCTGCATAAGGTACTAAGACAAGCACAGGACAAGCTCATCGACCCCTCCTCGGTCTCGCACATCTTCAGACTGTCGCCCTCGGTCGGCTGTGTCATGACGGGATCCATTGCCGATGCCAGAGCCTCCGTGAGCAGAGCGCGGGGTGAGGCTGCTGAGTTCCGCTACAAGTTTGGCTACGAGATGCCCTGCGATGTGCTTGCTAAGAGGATAGCCAACATCAGTCAGGTCTACACACAGCGGGTAAGTGAGGGTTAAAGGGAAGATGCGACACATGCTAAGCAAGGTGCAGGCGTACATGCGGCCGCTCGGTGTAGCCACGACGCTCATCTCGCTCGACTCGGAGTTTGGCCCCCAGCTCTACAAATGCGACCCGGCAGGCTACTACGTTGGCTACAAGGCAACCGCTTCTGGCCCCAAGACGCAAGAGGCGCTCAACTTCCTCGAGAAGAAGCTGAAGAACAAGGAGCATGCTGAAGGCAGCTGGGAGGAGGTGGTGGAGCTGGCCATTACCGCATTGAGCACAGTGTTGTCGGTGGACTTCAAGAAGGGCGAATTGGAGATTGGAATTGTGGGAGGACCCAAGGCCGGCGGTCAGGAGGGCAGAGATTTAACCTTCAGGGCCCTCACCGAGGACGAGATCGACGAACGTCTGCAGTCAATCGCAGACAAGGACTAAGGCTAGACAAGATGAAGCTACGACGAGGGAGCGGTAGGTCCGCAATCTCAACTATGACGATATCACAGGTAGCATGACACGACCTCTCAGACGTCAGAAGTGCTCGAGCAGCATAATGAATAAAGACGTTAGACTCTACTCCTGCATAAGCGCAAACGTGAAGCAGAGTCCGCTCAAGGAGAAAATGGCCTGTTCAGCCCTGTCTCCACCTAGGTTGGAGTCCCATTCGCCCATGACAGCAGGTTTCCATAGCATTTCAGCTGCAGTGGTCTGCCTACAACTCAGGGACAGCATCATCGACGTCATACGACTGGTCGACCGCATCGGCGCGCCCAGCACAGCCGTCGTGTGGCTGACACCGCTGGAGCAGCCAGTGGGTTCGCGAGCGTTTGTTCGTTTTTACGCTGGCAAGTCGAGCCTACACCGGCTTCTTCTCAGGTTCATCTTCAGCGGACACGCACGCGAGGGCTGCCCGCTAATTATAGCCCCCACCCAATCACACCACGTGCTGCGGCTGAACTGGCCTGCATGGCGTTCGCTGCCTTACCCGAGCAGGCTACCCGCACACCCTCGCTAACCCATCTTGCCATGTGGCGCCCACAGGGCTGCTGAAGCAGGCCAGCACAACGCTGTCCCATTACAGCTGGAGAGACTGTAGCGAAGCATCAAAAAATAGGCCGCTTCCCGATGCAGACGCACGGTTCCTGTGTGCTTAGTTTCCCATACTGACGATACACTCGGCAATGCCATGCTACTTCTCACACCTCCTCACGCTTTCTCAAGCCTCAATCCGCCGTCCAGTCCGCTGACTGGTCTCTACAAGCATGACCTGGTACAGCTGGGAGCTACTCACGGTCCTAATGTGGGTCATGGCGTAGTATGCTAACGGCGGGAACAGCCCTGCAGCCATGACTATTCCTACCCTACGCTATCGCGAGTCTTGCAACAGGCCGACTATCTCTCTACTGCAACTTGCGTGAACATATGTTTGTACGCACTATATAATACTCGCCACCCCGCCTCGAAACATCCTCATCACACCATCAAGCGCGGTTCACTTTCTTAATCCACTACTTCTTTCTTCTCCACTTCACAGCCCCGTTGCGAGTCAACCTTGTTTTGAATTTTTGAATTTTTGAATTTTTGAATTTTTGAAAATTCAATTTCATCATGTCTGACGGTCGTAAGATATTCTTTTCCATTCTCATGATCCAATGTGCCTTCCCTCCTCATATCATCTTATCCTAACCTGTCTCAATAGTCAACGATGCCCGCGCTATCCGCGTAGCAGAAATCATGACTGATTTCCGCACACTTGTACACCACCTGGCGACATTGCGCCCAACACCCACTCCTGAAGAGTACTATCTGGATGGCTACTCTATGCTAAGAGAATGCATGAGCGAGGCGCAAACAGTCCTTCAGACTCCCTTTTCTGGCAGTGCTGCTACAGGAACCGGAAACCCGGAATATGAGAAGCGACAACTACAGGCGTGAGTTCCACCTGCGAAGTTTCTGAAGTCTTGACGATGCAAGTAAAGTGAACAAGAGCGATAATGCCATGAAAAAGAAAGGAACCAAGACTGAACCGAGGAATCAGAGCTTAAGGATGAAGAGACTGACAGAAAATCGTAGTATCATCACAGACGCATCCATCCGCCGCTTCCAATGCCAACGAGCCTACCTCCGCGCAAACGCCGGACTACGCTGGGTAAAAACCCGAGCCGACATCCTACAAGGCCAGAAACCAAACATGAACCACATGCCAGCACTACAGCAAGCCGATACCACGCTCAGAAACGTAAGAATTCGTCTCCATCATTCTCCGCGGAGTTCTTTTCTCCATTGAAGTGATGAAAGAGGGACCACGTAGCTAACCCTTCTGTGTGATTTACCAGGAACTCATGGCCATAACAGACACGTTTGTCGAACAAACCCTCCGCAGTGTAGACGCCGCTCAACGCAAATGGCTCAACGAAGACCCATCTCTTGCCCAGATTCAACAGATTCTCATGTCAAGACGATAGAAATGCCAGGGATAAAAATATCCTATTTTCGACGTCCGCGGACCGGGACCCTGGATTGCCCGCCTCCCGCAGCAAGGAAATCTTATCTCCTGTATCACCGATCGATCGTTTTCTGACGCCACGCCTCGATTCCGATTATCGATACCCACCTACCCGCCCCTCCCCACATTATCGTTCCTCCGAACTGGAACGGATCAAATGGTGTGCTTTCTTTCTTCTTGGCTCGTTTTAGAGGTGGTGCTGGTCACCTATTGATTTTTCTCCCCTTTTCTTTTCCATGCCCTGTTACAGTTTGTTCGCGACGGTTTTCTTTTGTATCGATTTTATCTAGCGTTGGCGTTGGTTGTTACGTATCATGTGATTTGATCTGGTATCTTGGTGTTTTCTTGTTTTTTTCTTGTTTCCAAGTGGGTGGGAAGAGAGTTGGGGGAGGGGTTGTGCGGACGGAACGGGACGCGACGGGTTGGTGGAGGGGGGACAGGACAAGCGTTTGCAGAAGCAAAGATCGTGTGTGTGATGACTTTGTTTTTGGGAAGTTTGGTTCTGGCTCGCGCTTCGCTTATCTGGTTTTTCGGTTTCGGTTTCCTCTCTCTCTCTCCCTTTCTTTTGGGTATAGGATCGAGCTCACGGATACATCAGACCGCACGTTCTTCGGCCGTGTAGGCAATCTCCTTGTTGTACATATTGGTAACATTTTATTCCCTAACTATCACTCTAGCTATTTATCTTCGTTCAGCTGAATCCATGACGGGTAATCATGGTTGACGTTCCAGATTACCGATTCGCCCATCTCCCGTATTCAACTCCCCTACCCCAGCATCCCCCAATCTTGACCACTACCATCTCCTCAAACACCCTAAACCCTACACTTTCACATAATCACTCCCAGGATCCATCGCACATCACACATCGGACTAATCCGCACGGAGCTCTAGAATTTAAAGGTACGCTAGCGGCAGCGAACGCCCAGTACCTCGGGAACCCCGAAAGTCGCTTACCTACCCATCCACGCTACATACATGTAGTCAAGGCTAAGCGAGGGAAGCCACGCGAGAAACGAAGACTACATCCCTGTTGGATAAGGCGAGCGCCGAGGGGAGCGATGGGCAAGCGAAGCGAGGGAAGTAGATGGGGTTTGGGCTGTATGGCAGGTGAGTTTTCTGGTGGGTTGGGTTGGATGGGCAAGGCTGACATTAATGTGTACAACTGAAGATAGAATGATAGACAGATAGACTGTGGGTAGTAAAAATACCTTCGAGTATACCTGTGTGCCGGTGTGCACTCTGCCAGTAGCCTTATCCTGTGAACGTATACGGTATACGGCACGCCTCGCGCAAGGCTGATTCGTCTAGTTACCCCACACCCACCCGTAATCCTTTACGCTAAAAGAATGGCCTGACATGCTTGAAAAGTGCGTCACGTCCCTCCTGTTCGTCCACTCGTTTAGTTTCTTGGTCGCATGGCGGGTGGGTTGTGAGTGGTATGACTCGTGTTTAGGCTACAGTACAGTGCTAACGTTAGTCTGGATTGAGGACTGTTGTGGCTAGGTGGTAGCGAAGGGGAAAGGTAGCGAAAGGAAGGGAGGAGAGGAAGAAAGAAGAGGCTTGGAAGGACGGTGGAGGGTAGATGTGTTAGTACGGTTTTGTTGGTTTTGTGTTGTTGTTGGTAAGGCGTGGTGTGTAGATTGATGTGCGACTATAGCTGTGTCGCATATCGAGTTGGAGGGTAGGTAGCTCGAAGGGGTGCTCTTGGGGTTTTGTCACAGGATTGACTGCTGGATAGGCCGTATGCTTGATTTAGGATTAGCTTGGTCCTCCAGAAATGCTCGCGCCAAGTCACCCAAGTGAAAGAAGTCGTTCGCTCAAGAAAGTAGACCTTTGGTTCTTATCGCCCTATTGCCTGTTCAGCTTCTGGTTGATCGCGGCAAAAACATGCGAATTGCGCGTATTCTTGGATTGGCTGCCCTCGTCGGCGCTGTAGTGGGAGAACAGTGGCCAAGGTAGGTAGCTCTTTCCTTCCGACATCCAATTGACGATTGGAAAGCGTCATCGTACTACGTCGGCTGTTTTCCTGGGAAAACATTGACACGTATAGTTACTCAAACCACAATGTCTCCACCCTTAACTGCACGATTTTGGGGGACTCGGAAAAGATAGTTGACACTGCCGCGAGACCTCCGCCCCCTCCGCCACCTCGACCACCACCTCTACCATCGCGACCAGAACCAGCAAGTAACCAACTTTGGTACAAGTGCCTTGATAAGGGCTGTATATTCAACTGGGCGATGCGCACTGACGACCGCGCTGTTGGTCCCTTTTATAAGCCGGCTCGTGATACAGCAGCATCGCCATACCAGAGCCAAGACGATCTCAGGAAGTGGTATTGGTTTCCATACCCGCAGGATAAGATCAATGAAAAGTATGACGACTTCTATGGCACCTGGGGTATTGGGTACGCGCTGGACGAACTGGGATTGAGCGCCTATCGGTCTACTTACGAGGGAGGAGAGAACTATGTCTACGTTATCGACCATGAGAATCCAGCAAGAGACGATGTGGACCATCAGTGGTACCAGATTGATGGGAAGAGTTATCGGGCTACGGGCGCCAGCTACGGATTCTCGATCAACTCGGCACAAGGCGTCATTATAGGCATGAATCGTCTCAGCCCGAAGAATGCTGCAAAGGAGCGGAACCCGCCAGTACCAGATGATGAGTTGCCGGGTCTTAACCAGTTTTCCGATGTCGCTTGGATTGGGTGGGAGTCGCAGACCAAGGACCAGAACCATGATATCAAAGGTCTTCGATACTTCATCTCGGTTACCATCACCAACGAGGAGACTCTAGCGGTAGTGCAGAGAGCGTTGGGTGCAAAGGGTTGGCGGTTTAGAGATTGGCCAGGGTATACGTTTGAAGACCGACAGTCGCCTGAGATGAGAGCCATCATGGGTAAGTGTCTTCAAGACGGTGTTCGAACTGCAAGTTTCGTTGGCTAATCCGATTAGGTACCCCAAACATCCAAGGGTTTGCGTACTTTTTGATACAGCACAAAGCACAGCTGGGCAACATGTACATTAGCAAGCTCCAGGTCTTCAATGGAGAAACAAGTCATGAGAGTCCGTGTATCATTGCCCATGTCTCACCGGCAGATGACGCACCCCAGATAGGTATACATCAGGAGGAACGACATATTGTGAGGGTACATACGGCGCGGGCGATGCTGTGAGGGGTGAGCGAACTAAGAGAACAGGCCAAGGCGGCCACTTTGGTTAGCCAATAATGATGAAGTCACTTACTTGACAATAGCCGTTGGAGCGGATCCGGCTACGGCCAATGCGCATGTGTGCTTTTGTGAGGGGATCCGAATGCAGGGCAAGACAAAGTTAAATATACAGCAGCAACCTTCACACTGTCATGAAACTTGACCCGCCTACATTCGCAATGAACTTGTCACCACCACCCGGAGTCAAGACAATGTCGTGCAGCTTACGACGGGCGAACATGTCGTAGCCGACTAGACGTCATCTGCCACTGTTTCCCCGCGTCGCACCATGAGGGATTACGCGCCATAGCCCACGTAGGAATACCTACCGACAGACCAAGCAATTAATCCGCGTATTCACGATGGCTCGTCCGTGGGGTATTAGCCGTTCACCGGATCAGCTGCTAGTTATAGAGCTGGCGATGTACAGGCTAGGCTTCAGTGACAGATGTAAGGAGTTTTGACATCTCCTCGGCTGTCATAAACTGGGTACCCCGCTAGCGACTCCAGCGATTAAATCCCGTCATCAACCGAGTGCCTTCGCCGTTTTGCGCAATCGGAACCGCGGCCGGCTACCAACAACGTCGTCTTGAGTGTGTGTGGGCTTGAACTTCCCGAGGTTATACGACATCATACAGTCAATATGAAGGCTGCGACCACTGCGCCCGGTACTCTTCGCGCTGCGACATCTCTTGCACGACTTCCCCGACAACAGACTTGCAGATTTGCGACACGCTGCTTGGCTTCCCGGACAGTTGCGACATCGGCCCAGCTTTCAAGCCGACGACGAAGCGCAAACAGCCTTTCAGCCACGACACCTAGCTTGTATACGCGCATTGGTCAGTTCAGGATGGCGTCTTCTACGGGAATCAGCAAGATCAAGGTCAAGAACCCGGTGGTGGAGTTGGACGGTGATGAGATGACCAGGATTATTTGGCAGGTTATCAAGGACAAGGTGCGGCATGCGACAAAAGACACAGAGAGGCACGCGCTCACACTCCCAGTTTATCCACCCATACCTCGACATCGACCTCAAATACTACGACCTCGGACTTCCCTACCGCGACGAGACCAACGACCAGGTGACTCTCGATGCCGCCGAAGCGATTAAGAAATATTCAGTCGGCGTCAAATGCGCCACTATTACGCCGGATGAGCAGCGAGTGGAGGAGTTCAAGCTCAAGAAGATGTGGCTGTCGCCAAACGGCACCATCCGAAACCACTTGTAGGGAAACATGTGCGCATAAGGCGAATCTCCACTAACAGCATGCTATAGAGGAGGAACCGTCTTCCGCGCGCCCATTGTTATTCCCACCATCCCCCGCCTCGTACCCGGCTGGAAGCAGCCCATCATCATCGGCCGTCATGCTTTCGGCGACCAGTACCGTGCAAAGGACCGCGTCATTTCTGGCGAGGGAACACTAGAAATGGTATTCACACCCAAGGGCGGCAAGCCAGAGGTTATCAAGGTCTACGATTTCCCTGCCGAGGGCGGCGTTGCGCAGACTCAGTACAATACAACAGAGTCCATCACCGGTTTCGCGCATGCATCCTTCAAGATGGCGCTCGACAAGAAGCTGCCGCTGTACATGAGCACCAAGAACACCATTCTCAAGGCATACGATGGAAAGTTCAAGGATGTTTTCCAGGCCATTTACGAGAGCCAGTACAAGAAGGACTTTGAGGCAGCCAAGATCTGGTACGAGCACCGCTTGATTGACGACATGGTCGCCCAGATGATCAAGAGCGAGGGTGGCTACATCATTGCTATGAAGAGTGCGTATCTACTGTCTATACTTTCAGACCTCTACTAACACTCACAGACTACGATGGAGACGTGCAGTCCGACATTGTTGCCCAAGGTTTCGGCTCTCTCGGCCTCATGACATCCACCCTCATCACCCCTGACGGCAAGACGTTCGAGGCTGAAGCCGCCCACGGTACCGTCACCCGCCACTTCCGCGAGCACCAAAAGGGCAACGAGACCTCAACCAACCCCATCGCCTCCATCTACGCCTGGACACAAGGTCTTGCCAAGCGTGGTGAGCTGGACAACACACCAGAGCTCGTCGTATTTGCCGAGCAGCTTGAGAAGGCTTGCGTTGACACGGTCGACATTGACAAGATCATGACCAAAGACTTGGCGTTGGCTTGTGGGAAGAAGGACAGGGCGTCTTGGGTTACTACCAACGAATATCTTGATGCTGTAGAGAGGAGGCTGAAGTCGAGCCTGAAGGAAAAGCTATGAATGTGAATATGGAATGAAATTAAAATTTGGTCATGAGCGATGATTGCATACATGTACCTGCAAGTTGGTCTTGTAAATGTTGAATCTAATACGAGACAAGAAGATTTTCCTCCTAACGAAATCGGGTAGTCTATGCACACGGATCCGTGTCCTACCGCGTTATGCACGTCGGTGCATCTGCTGTTTGTTTGTTACACCGATAGTTCAACACATCTCTGCAACCATGATCTTGACCTTACCACCATCTTACGCGTCGCGGAAAGCCGGTCTGCAAAACGGTTGCAGACCATCTGATGAAAGATCAGATCACATGATGACTCCCTTCACTCACGCTAGCACCACATGCGGCACTAGCCAGGCTGCTTTGATCCCAATTGGGTCCCCGACCACTCCAACCTCCGGACCAAACGAACATCAGACTGCTGCAGCCACGTCCCCAACCTCATGCTCGCTTGAAAAGCAATGCGCGCCCTCGACTCCAACTTCTACTTTGCATCAACGCTTCTTGCGCAAAGCCAGCATGTCGCCTGCAACGCCACCGCGAACGCCTGGGTCGAGACGGGAGAGCCCCACCAAGGTACGCGAGAGCCCGGCCGGAGGCTTTCCTACGCCTAGCAGAAAGGACCGGACGCCAATTAAGCTCGAGGTTAGCCAAAATGGGTTTTACTTCTGCATGGAACTCCCGCCCAGTAAAATTACGCCAAAGAAACGAGATGGCGAGAGTAAGTGTGGTACGCCGAGGAAAGAAGATGGGACCGAGACGCCCACCAGGACACGGGCATCCAGTCCGCTGAAGAGCACGAAGAGTCACAGCCACAGCCCAGATAAGCAGAGCCCTGCGCAAGCACTGTCTGGTACACCGACTAGAAGGGGTGCAGCGAGGACGCCCGATAGCCACCGACGATCCAGGAGTCCAATTCGGCGAACAGTGGACCAAAGAGTATCCGTCGAGACTGGCGCGAGACTAACGAGAAAGCTTGCTTCGACAACTGTGCAATCTCTCAGGATACCGACCGAGTGTCTTGGTGATGTGGTTGACGATGTTGCGATAGCACCGCCGGATCGACCCGCCATCATTAAACCAAGCGAGGAGCGTGCACCCAACAAGAAGCCGGACGCGGTACAGAAACCGTGGCCAAACCCAGAAACCATCGGGCATCTCATGGCGGGCCTCAGCAGCAGCGGCAGCTGTACCCCCCAAGCCCTTGGTCGTGCATCAGACACCCCGCACAAGGATGATGAGGTCACTGTTTCCCCTGCGCCTACACCGTTGCGCAAGGCCTCACAAAAGCTTGGGCTGACGGGGTCACCTTCATTTCTGAGGCTGCCCATTCAGGGCCCGACGCTTGTAGAAAGGGCGCGTGTTGCGTTTGACGGCGGCCAGGAGACTGAACACTCGACATTGCGCGAACCTGACCTCCACTCGTCGGAAGAAAGTGGCGACAACAGCGTTGCCGCAGTGAAAGAACCCCATAAAGTTTGGTTAGGTAATTCGCCCGCGGTCCAAGAAAAGGAGTCGGAAGGCAATATGGCTGCATCACGCCCAGCCCAGCCCAAGCGTCCATTGTCAATGACGGCCCTGTACACAACAACAACTCGGAAGGCGCAAGACACAATCCAATACCCACCCCTTCTCTTCCCCAAACCAGAGTCGGAATCATCACCAGAACCAATGCCGGACCCAAAGAAGAGAATCAAGCGACAAGAGATGGAGCAGCCGGACAACTCAAGATTACCCCGACCGCAGCAGCCCGCCAAACAACGAACACGCGTTGGCACCGATCCTAGTGTTCTACTGACGCTACAAAAGGAAATGGCAAACACAGAAGCGGAAATGCGTCGGTCGGCCGGAATCATCAATCCAACCTTCTACGGACCTCCTAACTTGAGCGAACTACCTGCTATTTCCAACAGCTTCTCCACACGGGATTCACGGGATATGACAAGTCCTGATCCGGCGGACATACCGCTGCCGCTTAGTAGAGTCAACTCAAACACGTCGTCTCGCGGGCAGGTGCGAGTAACCTCGTCGGCGAAAGTACATTCAACGCCTGCTGTTTTCCGGTTTCGTTCTACTGGTCCTCCCGCAGCGCAGGCAAAGAAGGATCGTACGACTGCTGCTAAACAAGCGGCTAAGCAGGATGTAGGCAAAGAGAAGAGTTCGGTGACGGCAACACCGAGGACGCGTTCGATGGGTGCGGCGTTGAGTGGGCCGGGCAAGACGGCTGCTGCTGCGATTGCTACGCCGAGGAAGGTGGCGTCGACGTCTGCAAAGGTTGTATCGACACCTGCGAAGGTTGCATCGACACCTGCAAAGGCAGCTCCAGGATTGAGTCGCATACCATCTGCTACACCTACAAAGGTGAAGAGTCCAGTAAAAGCTGTTCCGCAGAGTGCTAAGAAGGTTGTCGATAAGGCGACGAATGCGGCACCCATTACGCCTATGAAGCTGAGGAGCCCTACGAAAGCTATTCTCCAGACCCCCATAAAGCCTGCTTTAGGGGCTTCAGCCAACAAGTCAACGGGTGCGGCAGTATATACACCGACTAAGACTAAGAGTGTGACGAAAGCTATTCCACAGAGTGCGAGGAGACTTGCCTCCAGCACACCAGCTACCAAGCCACCGGCTTCAGTGACAAAAGAGCGTTCGTCAAGTCTCATGTCTGTGACCACACCTCGCATTACAGCGACTAGGACACCACTGCGTACACCCAGCACCCCAAAGCTTGGCCTTGAAACGCCAGCGAAGAGGTCGCCAGCTACGAGCACCTCATCAACGCTTCCAAAGGAGTCTAGACTCAAGGGCCGCTCTCCAACCCTGACATCTACTCAAAGCACACCCCGCAAGACTCCGCTCCGTAAACCTCTTGTTCCGCTCAGCAAGGAGCCAAACAGCGCGTCTGCGGACCCCCGACCGTATGACCAACAGTTCGCTAGCGCAGAAGACATTGCTGACCGACTCGCTAGGTGGCACGATGAGGATCGCAAGAGGGCGGAGACTGAGAAGCCGGATAAGGCTGTTGGTGTGAAGGTGGGCTTGAGGGTGCCTGGGAAGGTACCAGGGAAGATAGTGGGAAAGACGGCTACGGACGTTCCTGGGAAGACGCCTACAAAGGCTGTTGGGAAGATGGCTGCGAAGGTTTCTGAGAAGACGTCTACACCAACTATTGGAAAGACTTCTACAAAGGCTCATGCAAAGACGTCTACACCGGCTCTTGGAAAACCTCCTACCAAAGTTCCAGCGAAAATTCCCGGAAAAGGTCCTACAAAGGCGCCCGCAAAGACACCCGCAGATGTCACCGGCCAAGCTCCACAAGCCACACCAGCGAAGACCCTCCCAAGGACCCCCGGCAAAATTCCCACAAAGACACCCGCGAAAACGCCCGCAAAGACACCCGCAAAAGCACCAGCAAAAGCACTTGCTCGAACCCCTAACAAACCGCCCACCCCTGTCCACCTAACCCCCTCAACCACACCGCAATCCACACCACCAACCACCACCCTCTCCCTCGCCCACCCCTCCCCATCAACCCACCTCCACCCCCCAACTCCAATCTTCACGCCCACCGCCTCCCCCAATACCAACACCCCTCTCTCTCACGCCCACGCCAACCGCCTCCCCCTCAACCCCTCTCCCCAAACGCAAACCCCCCTTTAAATACCCCATCACGCCCCTACCCGCCCCACACACCCCGATTACCCGTCGTACACCCAACGTCGCTGCTACTGCAGACCGTAATGCAACACGCACGCCAAGCAAACGTATAGTGAGCAGTTTGGATAAGGCGATTGATGAGAAGATTGCCGAGGATGCGAGGAGGGGGTTAGAGTTTACCCCCGGGGGAAACCGGGTTAGGGATTTACTGGAGGCGAGGGGGAGGGTGTAGGGTTTGTGTGGGCATGGGAAGGGAAGGGAAGGGAAGGGAAGGGCAGGAGGGAATAAGGTGGATAGGAAGGGGACAGTGATGGGGAGTGTACGATATAAACTTGTTTTTTGTAATCAGTAATTTTTCAGATAGCAGAGGGTGCATGGAGTGGGTTGGCTTGGGTGAGGTAGGATTAGATGGATATATGCATAATAAGCAGGGCGTGAGCCACACCAGCTAGCTGCTTTGCTGAAATGATAATATTTGGAAACACTGGTTTTAGCCTACTTTGTACAACCTATTTGGTAACTGCTTTTGAACATGTCGTTTTCATCGTCGGAGTCTGAGTCTGGTTCTGAGTCTGAGGAAGAAGGGGGGTTGTCGTCGTTATCGCTTCGACCGAGTGTATGACTAGAGGTATCTGAGTGGTGTAGGGTGTTGCTTGAGGTATCCGATCGACCCAGCGTGTGAGTACTAGCCTCACTACCTTGCCTCGAGCTACGGTCTAGGGTGCGGGTGGTTGGTGTACTTGCCTCACTGTGTCCCAAGGTGTGGCTGCTCGATGAACTGCAGTCGAGCGTGTGGCTTGAGGTTTCTGAGGGATGTAGGACGTGAGTGGTAGTCTTACTCATGTTCCTATCTTCATCGGCGCTGTCGTCATCGTTGTGGTCGTCGTCGACCTCTGCATGTCGCATAAGCCCTTTCCCACCCTCCCCGTTCGTCTTCACCCTCCTCTTTCTCGCAGCCTCAGACTCAGCCTCTCCCTCATTCGCACATCCCGCTGCTTCTCCTTGCCCACCTCCCCCAGGCCCGCCCTTACGCTTATAATACACCATTGGTACAGGGAGCGCTGTCGTGGTGTCGTGAGGGAGGGTGTGTGGTTGCATGTCTGGATGCTTTTTTACGTCGTTGGGTTGTAAGTGCTGCTGTTGGTGTTGTAGATTTGGGGATGTAGGAAAGGGGGGTAGAGAAGGGGAGCAAACATCATCTTCACCACGATTCAACGCTCCTCCCCTCCCTTCTCCTCCTTTCCCCCCACAGGAGAAAGGATCATCACCTCCGTAGACATTCTTTAGATGCGCGTTGTGCGTCATGTACATGCGATCTTCCCCACTAACCCCTCGTTTCACCCCACAAGCAAAAGCATCATTTCCTTCGTACACATTCTCCAGAAGGGGATTATACCCCATGTATATGCGGCTAGAAATAGTACTGTAGTCTCCTCCTCTAAGCCTGCTCGTTGGAAGGGGGGTGTGCGGGTCGTGCGTTATGTACGCGCGGATGGTGTTGCTGGGGTGTAGTGTCGTTCTTGTAGTGTTGAGGTTAGCAGTGCCATTTTCCTCACTTATCCTACGTTTTCTCCCCCCGCAGTAGAAAGGATCGTCGCCTCCGTATTCATTCTTTGGATGGGGGTTGTGTGTTGGAGTGGTGGGCGTTGGACTGGGGTTGTACGTTGAATACGTGCGTATCATATTGCCGCGCCGTACTATCGCTATGAAGTTGTTGGCATTGGTGTTGGAGGTGGAGACGGAGTTGGCGTTTGTTGTGTTAGGTTGGGGTGGGGGTGACATGCTGGTGTTTGTATGTGTGCCTTGGTTTGTGAGATGGGGTGAAGGAAAGAGGTGTTGTAGTGTAGAGGGAGGAGGCGAAGGAAGAGGTTGATATATGTGTAGGGAGAAGAAGGTGAGACTGTGTTTTAACTAAGACATGGCGGGGAAGACAAGGCAGAGACAGACGGAAGGTACACGAATGTCCCATATTTTATGCGTGTTCTAGTTTTGTCTTAGAAAGCTGAATTTAGCACAAGAAAATTTTCTGTTCATAGCATTCAGAACCCTATAGTCACACATTCATCATCGAACGCACATCTTACCCCCTCTCCTCCTCCTCCATATCAACCACCCACCACGCACATCCCCTAATCCGTCTGATTAATAACCGCATCCTGTTACTCGTTAGTCTTCATTCCCACCACCACATCAACCCACAACACTCACCCTAGCCACCTCATAAAGCGGTCTCACACCCGTCCAATACTCAAACTGATGCACCCCCTGTCCAACCAACACCTCCAACCCATTCACCGTCTTCCACCCATTATCCATAGCCAGCTGGATAAGCGCCGTAACAGGCGGTTTATATGCCATCTCGAGCAGAATCCTCTCCGTACCCTCGAGATCACGCACAGAAGCCTTGCCCTTTTCAAACAGCGTGCAGAGTGTCTCGCGGATGGCAATGTCGATGGGTTGGTCGGCGGGGATGGTGCCGATGGCTACTTGCGGGCTAGCCGGGAGGGCTTCGACGTCGGCGGGGGAAGTTAGAACCTGGAGGTTGTACTCTGCCGGGAACGCGTTCTTTAGGGTTTCCATCTTTGATGGGTTGCGGCCGAGAAGATAAATTGGTCCGTAACCCATCTCCTTCAAGGCGTAGATGGCTGCGCGGCTGGTACCGCCGCCACCGATGACGAGGGCGGATCCGCTGCCTTGAGCGCCTGCTTTGCGGAGGATGAGCACCATGCCGAGGTAGTCGGTGTTGCGGCCGATGAGACGCATTACTTCCTTTCCAGTGGTTTCGTCGATGGAGGTCTCGGGGACGATGGTGTTTAGTGCGCCGATCACTTCAACTTCTGGGCCTAATCCGTCAAGTAGAGGCACAACGTCTTGTTTCAGTGGAATCGTAACACTGGCACCACCAAACTCTGGCGAGCGGATAATTTCCTTAATCGAACTTGCATCGGTTGTTTCGTGGCGGCCGTAAACGTGCGGAAGTCCAGTTTCGCGGAAAAGTCTGTTATGTAGACGTGGGCTGGGACTCTGTGATATCGGCGAACCGAAGATGAAGAATTTCTGCGTTGGAACCTCACCCATGAGCGACAAGCCACGACGGATATCAGCTGCTGATAGCTGGCCCGGAGCGGTAGCAGAAGGGAGAAGAGGATGCGATACAGGCGTCATGAAGCCGTTCAGTATTCTGCTCAGCTTACCATGCTCGCCCATGTTAATGGCGATTAAAGGCACGGGATGCGCAGTGTTTGCCCAACTCTTGAACTCTGCAAGCGCAAAATTGTCCTCAAGCGAGCTGGCGACACCGACAAGCTTGATGACAGTACCGTACTGTAAAGCGCGGTTGTAGTACTGCATCCAAGAACCGTTTCTCCAGTTGAGTTCGCCCTTGGGATCGTGATGACTAGCGATGATCTCTGAGAATCCGCGGGTCTCTGAAACCTCACGCAGTATATCTTCGGGCATTGTCATTTCCAAATCTACGAATTCGCATCCTAGTCGTAGTGCAGTCCGATAGAGGATTGCAGCTTCGTCGTAGGCTTCATCTGGGAATCGTCCACCCTGTGCTTTTGTCCGCAGTGTGAAGATTACTGGTATTGATGTGACAGTCCGAAGTATCGTCAACTGCTCGACGACAAACTCCGGCGTTGGTAGACCCTCTTTGCCCTCAGGATCTTCGAGTAGATCGACTCTGAGCTCCACAGCATCCGAACCAACTACGATCTCCGGTAGTGTCTTGATGCAAGGCTCGAGGCGCGGCGCAGACAAGCACACAAAGAATGAATGCTTCCTCTTCTTCAGAGTCTTCAACGTTGAGCCCTTTCCAGTGATGGTG